GGGACTGGGCACGTTTCCACTGGGAGCTGGACTCGCCGGCATTCACTCACAAGTTCGCCTGCGAGAAGGAGCCCGCCAAACGCCAGTTCCTTTTGACGACGGACAGGAAGATCGAGCGCATGTTCTGTAACGCGACGGACCTGGAATATGACAAGGAAATCTGGGACTCGAAAACGAACACGTTCGTGCGCATGCCACGCTGTACGGTCATGACGGCGGGCTTCCCATGTCAGGATTGTTCTGTCCTGAACCCGTCGTCGTCCACGTCGGCCAACAGATCCTGCGTTGCCGACGGCACTCTTCGCACTGGCTCCGTGCTGCAGGGCATCGTTCACTACCTGCAGTCGACGGGCCTCGTCGGACCGAATTTCTGTTTGTTTGAGAACGTCGCCGGACTGAAGACCAAGACCCGTAACGCCGACGGCAGCACTGGACCCTCCAACCTGGACCATGTCGGACACTTGATCAGCACAAAGACAGATCGTTTGCTGCATGTCTGGGAGTTGGACCCACGAATGTTCGGTGTTCCACAAAGTCGAAAGCGGCTGTGGATGACAGCCATTCCACGCCGGATCTTCGAGGGACTCCTTCCAGAACACGAAGTACAAAAGATGCTGAACAGCATCATGGACACACTCCTGGGTCTGAAGGAGATCTCGGTGTCGGAGTACCTGGTCAACTCGAGGCCCATGCTTAGATGGCAATGGTTCCTCGTACACCTCGCAGGGAGCATGGTTCCAGGGATATTGTAGTAGTTCTGATTTTTTACTCAGTAAGTTCGGAGAATTGAAGACAGAGTATCAGAGTATCGTCTTCATCTTTCTGGTTTCTGGCAGGAGTAGTAGCTTCCCACATCCTTGCCATCATCGAATCAGGTGTAGTTCTGTGAGATTGAGCTTATTTGCTGCTGCATTACTCCCCTACCACCGACATACAGTACAGTTGTTTTTCTCGTTTTGAAGTTGATTCAGGACATGTGTTTTAGTTAAGGTCCTTGGGTGCGTCTGACGGGAGGATCAGGTTTCTTCAAGATACTTCTTTCATGCCACGGCTTGTTGTACTGCCTTGATTGAAAAATAGGGACGTAGTGCTAAATGTAGGTTCGCAGGTGTGTTTCTAGGTGTACTCATGCAATAAGTACTTTCTACTTGTATTCTGTTCTGATGCAGGTGCGTGCATATGGCGAAGTTCACCACGGAGTACAACAAGAAGTTGCAGCAGCTCCAAACACGACGGGCTCGTCGTCGCCGGGCAGAACGACAAGACTCACAGGTCGAGGAGTCGCAGGACACTCAGTCACAGCCGCAGGACAGACTGGTCTGAGAATTCCGGCGACAATCCTTCGCATCAAGCCGGGCAACAAGTTTCAGCCACCTCAGCACATGCTCGTCGGGCACCCGGACCCTGAAACGTGAGAAGATCGTCACCAAGGACTGGTTAAAGAAATTCCGCCGGGCAGCTCGGACACGGCCGTACCTCAAGTGCATGACAGCCCGAAAACGCAGGACTTTGTTCAAGCTTGGCGTGAGGAACTTCCCAAGCGAGACTCTTCAGGTCGTCGACATCTCGCAGGACAAGTTTGCCCACTTAACGAACCACTCGCCGTGCGTGACACCAAAGGGCGAGCGGTACTTGACATCGGAGTGCCGGTGCGTGCTCCCATTGGAGTCGTTGCGCTTGCAAGGGGCATGGTTCACGGAGGACGACACACGACTGGAAAACTTCCCGCAGAGCCTGCTGGCAGATCTTGCTGGCAATGCTTTTGAAGCGAGCTGCTTCGCCGCGACGTTTTGGGCCACGCTGGTCTGCTATGGACGACTCCGTGCCCTTAATGAGAGCAGCAGGGCAGGTCGTGGTCCCCGTCGTGCACTTGAAGTGCCGGCACTGGGAAGGTACAACACACCGGAGTTCGACTCGCAGGTTCTTTTGGACTTCGATGATTCGGAGGACGAGGAGACACACGCATAGCACGGACGCTCGACTTTCCCGCAGTGCCCAGGTTGAAAATGTGCGTCGGCTACCTAATGTATTAGTATACATACGTAATGTAGTCAAAATTATTGAAATCAAAGTCTAGTCTATGTGGAATCAATGATTCAAGCCAGCATATACGGAATAATACTTTTTGTAGATGTTAGCCAGCAATCGCCCTTTCAAGAAATTATAACTTGGAGCTGCAGCTCATTTCAGAAGCTTCTCAATTTCATTCGTCATTGATAGCACTCTGAGTCTCAGGTTTCACATCCTAGGCATTAGCAATGCATGAGTTTTTTGGTTTGTTTTTGCTGCCGCTGGAATAGGTAAGCCCCGAGTAGGCAGTAGTGCAGTGTGTGTAGTTTTGAACCCCATGCCCGTCCAGTCATCGTCAGGGAGCCTGAACGTGTAATTTCCAAACCCTACACTAGACTAACCCCTTAACCTGTTCCTTAAACCCCTATGGTTTAAACTCCAAACATGTTCCGAACAAATACGATTCGATAGAGCTGCGACTGTCATGGATTGCAGGACACCCAGAGATCCAGACTGCCAGAGCTGCGCTGCTTCCAGTCGGATTGGTCGTTGCGACCACACGCAGGGCGTTTCTTTCTAGTTCAAGTCATATCTGTAATGCTAACTCCGACAGTTCAATAAGCACACCTCGCCGGACCTGGGAATGCAGGGTTTGAAATGACAATTGTGATTTGGAATGCTTGCTTTTCTCATGACAATAGTGAGAAGGGTTGATTACTGACACATATTTTGTTGCCCAATGCCCCGTGATTTGTTTGGCAACTCAAGCAAGTGTGTGCGTGTGTGTGTGTGTCTGTCTGTCTGTCTGTCTGTCTGTCTGTCTGTCTGTGTGTGTGTGCAATCCTTGCTGCCATCCAATGTGTTTGAAGAACGTAAGGCGTGCACTTCATCTGTATGTGCTTTTCGTTTCGTTTACCTATGGCATCCTGGTTATCATTGAAATGTGTCGGAAACGCACTTGAAGTGCCCTTGATCTGTTTTTGGTTTTGGCACACCTTACTATTGAAATGCGCTTGAAATGCGCTTGAAATGCGCTTGAAATGCGCTGCTCCTTGCTTTCCTCGAAGGCCTGGCAAGCCTCCCTACCCTTGAAATGCGCTTGAAATGCGCTTGATCTGTGTTTGGTTTGGGTTTCGCTGCTAAACCACGGAATCCTTCACTTTGGAAATGCAATTGAACTGCGCTTGAAAGGCACTGGATCTGCATTTGCTTTGGGACCTCCTCTTCTTTTATGGAATCCACCTTACTATTGAAATGCGCTTGAAATGCGCTTGAAATGCGCTTGAAATGCGCTTGAAATGCGCTTTCCTCGAAGGCCTGGCAAGCCTCCCTACCCTTGAAATGCGCTTGAAATGCCCTTGAAATGCGCTTGATCTGTATTTGGTTTGGGTTTCGGTGATAAACCACGGAATCCTTCTCTTTGGAAATGCAATGGAAATGCGCTTGCTTTGGCACCTCCTCTTATTTTATGGAATCCACGTTACTGAAATGCGCTTGAAATGCGCTTGAAATGCGCTTGAAATGCGCTGCTCCTTGCTTTCCTCGAAGGCCTGGCAAGCCTCCCTACCCTTGAAATGCGCTTGAAATGCGCTTGATCTGTGTTTGGTTTGGGTTTCGCTGCTAAACCACGGAATCCTTTTCTTTGGAAATGCAATTGAACTGCGCTTGAAATGCACTGGATCTGCATTTGCTTTGGGACCTCCTCTTCTTTTATGGAATCCACCTTACTATTGAAATGCGCTTGAAATGCGCTTGAAATGCGCTTTCCTCGAATTCGAAGGCCTGGCAAGCCTCCCTACCCTTGAAATGCGCTTGAAATGCCCTTGAAATGCGCTTGATCTGTATTTGGTTTGGGTTTCGGTGATAAACCACGGAATCCTTCTCTTTGGAAATGCAATTGAACTGCGCTTGCTTTGGGACCTCCTCTTATTTTATGGAATCCACGTTACTAGTGGAATGCGCTTGAAATGCGCTTGAAATGCGCTTGAAATGCGCTTGAAACGCGCTGCTCCTTGCATTCCTCCAAGGCCTGGCAAGCCTCCCTACCCTTGAAATGCGCTTGAAATGCGCTTGATCTGCGCTTGATCTGTGTTTGGTTTGGGTTTCGCTGTTAAAGCACGGAATCCTTCTCTTTGGAAATGCAATTGAACTGCGCTTGAAAGGCACTGGATCTGCATTTGCTTTGGGACCTCCTCTTCTTTTATGGAATCCACCTTACTATTGAAATGCGCTTGAAACGCGCTGCTCCTTGCATTCCTCCAAGGCCTGGCAAGCCTCCCTACCCTTGAAATGCGCTTGAAATGCGCTTGAAATGCGCTTGAAATGCGCTTGATCTGTATTTGGTTTGGGTTTCGCTGTTAAACAACGGAAACATACTTACCATTGAATTGCCCTTGAAAAGCGTTTCAATCACGCTGGATCAGTTGTGCTTTGCTTGTGTTTCCTGAACCAATGCCATGATTGATACTCGCCCTTCAGCTGCACTTGAAACGTTTTTGGCTGGCACTTGATCTGCCCTCGGTCCCTGGTGGCAATATAATAAAGCCCCGGCAGTCGTGGTCCTTAGCATTAAACTGCAGTTGACATGTGAATGTGCTTGGACACATATAATATAAACCTGTGCAATGAGCTTGATCTGCAGTTGCTCTGTCTCTGCATGGCACTTGCTGTGCACGTCCTGTTGCCTGGCTGGCTCTCTGTCTCTGCAACACTGCTGCAATTCCTCCTTGTGAACGATCTGATCTAGGCAGTTCATTGCTGTGCATCTGCATTTCAGCCCTTGTTTGCGTGCCGATGCATTTGCACTGCATGCACTTGAAACACAAGTGGATTGTCTTACCTGTGTGGTGTACACTTCGATCTAAACCCTTTGTCTATGGTTTCACCACAGCCCTTTTTATGAGCAGGTCGACTCTGAGTGATTCCCAGGCATCCTGTGCATGACACACGCTTGCTTTGCTTTAACAACGTCCAGTGCCAACCCTACAGACATGTTGGTCGATTTATCAAGGAAGCTCACAAGGCCAGCCAGCCTGTTCAAGATTTTTGCAGCAAAGACTTTGCATTGGCCCGCACGGTAACACAAGGCCCTCTTCGCATGGAAAGCTTTAAAAGAACAGCTTCTCCAAACCATGATGCACGACTTCATATCAAGGCTTCGCAAAACAAAAACCTTCGATCCACGGTTCCTCATTTCGGTATGGATTTCGCTATGAACATGCAAAGTGGACCACTCCGCAGTCTTCAAAAATGACCCCTGTGAAAATCGGACCCGGTCCGAGCCTCTAGGTACGCCCCATCCCCGCTGGTAGGCGTTCCCCGCTTAAGTTGCCGCCCAATTTAAAGGCATTGTGAGGTTTAGGATTTCGGGTTTAGGGTAGACAGATTGCCCTGATCTTCTTGAACTAGACCCCACACCGTACGGCTCTTGGTTTGTCTCCAGGGTAGCAGGGTTGCATGCGTGTAACATCTCGGTCAGATGTTGTCACGCAGCAAGTTGCTGCTTTTCCGGGACGTGTTCTTCTCGTTGGGTGCTTGGAGTTTTGGAAAGCATGTCCTTATGCCTTTTTGGAATGTATTACATAATTGTTGCTTCCGATGACCTCCTCTCCTGATTCTCGTGCCCGAAGCTTCATGTCGCTCTCGTCAGCTGCACATACACATGTTGAGTCTGAGGCTAGCTACCGTAGGCGGAGAAGTTTGTGTTTTCCCGCCCATTCGGTTTGTACTTGAACCCACGACGCAACCCTAAACCCTAAACCGAGAATCCAGGTCAAGAAAGGCCTTCTGTGCCAGCTCTTCGGCGGCACCTGCCTGCCCAACGGCACGGCCCCTCCGCCGATTTGCAATTTCTGGATGTTTGATGCTATTCCAGGTTGAGGATTTAAGCAGCGGTTTCATGATTCAGACTTGACGAGTTGAGAGTTGTCTGGGGTTCCCTAAGCCCTACCACCCTAACCACTCGAAGACGGTTTCATGATGCAGAGTCAAGGAGTTCAGGCTCGCTTGGGGTTCCCTAACCCCTTTCCACCCGAAAGCCTTCGGTATGTAACATTGAAGACGTTATGCTTGAAGAGGGCTCCAGGGGGGCTCGAGGGCCGGGGACTCCAGGTCTACCCTGTTTCCCGACTCTGCCGAAGACTTTGCAGGTGAGGTGCTACAGAGGTTGCAACATGTATGGCAATGGTTCTCCCCTGTAGTTATAGTCCGTATCATCTAGTGATGATAGTACATGTAGTAACTATACTATATCCCAAAACCATTTTCTAGCATAAAGGCCTCTACATTAAGAATCCCTTTCGAACGGAATTCGATGTAGACCCAAGAGTATATCTTCGTGAGATACTCCTCATGATACAGCACTGATAGGTCTCCTAGCGTCTAGGAAGCGGCCGACCGAAACTCACAACTCCTGATTGAGCCAGGCACACACCCGACCGGCAACTCGGTAGGGAAGCGAAGGGCTTTGCCCCTAAGTTGGGGTGCGGCCGAGGGTTTAGGATTTACACTGACGTCAGGACCCCGAACTAAACCCCTAAACCCTAAACCCGGAAACGAAAGGTTGGGCAGGCTGAGGTGCAGATAGATGCTTTGGTGCCGCATTTCAGGATTCGGGTTCCGCTTCGTGTGCTTTAAGGGCTCCATGTAGGGGCTCAGGAAAAGTTAGGGTTTAGTGTTTAGGATAATGGCTGAGTGTTTCGATCTGTATCATTGCAGGCTTACGGTAAGCGGCTTTGGCCACAATAGAAGGTCGAGTTCTTTAGTAGCAGTGGGCTTGCAGGGAAAAAACTCGTGTGCGTGTTGGCAGCAAATTACTCAGTGTCGAGGTTTCTTAGGGTCATGAAGGCTACGCCAAACCTAAAGTTTAAAACCCCGAGCCCGTATACATCCCGAACTCTAAACCCGGAATTCGGCTTAGCTCTGTACTACCTGCTTGAAATATCAAGAAACCCGGATAGGAATTTGCACAGGGCCCCGTATCGGAATCCCGGTTATAAGACTCCTTTAAGGAGTCTGTGGGTTGGGGTGTGGCCCCAGGGTTTCAGGTTTCTGCAAGGTTACTTTGAGGTTTTTAGGGTTGCTACAAGGATAGAAATTTGACTACCTGGCAGGTGCCCGGATGCAGCAAGTACGTCGCAAACAATGAATAATTAGCCAAACCCTAAAGGCGTGTGCATATACGTATGTGTGTGTACAGGTATATGTTTTTGCAGATGCCTTTGCATATGTCTATGTGTATGTACAAGTACATATACATGTTCCGTGTACCTGTACATACAGATGCAGATACATGTATATATATATATATACACACATACATATATATGTCTCTGTATGTGTACATATATAGTTGTTGTGAAAGCCCTTAAACCCGAAGACACGAATGCCTAGCAGCCTAGCAGAGAGCTTATGATCCAGCTGAGGAAATCCACTCCCTGCTTTGTGGCGACCCATCCACGGCGAAGTCCCAACTCCTGGGGCAGCTGCACAGCAGAGATCCGATCGAGAGGTATTCCTAGTAGTAGAGTAGGCAACCTTTAACCTTTTGTTGGTAGTACAGTCCCAATATAATCCCTATATACCCAAAAAGGTTAACCTGTAGTTCCCCATGGTGCCCGACAAGTAGGTTTTTGCCTTGTCTAAGCCGCTAGACAGTGAGGGTGGAGGGTCCGGGATGGCGGATTTGGGCAATAGCCTGGGGCTGAGAAAAAGGAGTTTTAAGACCACTGGCCTAGAAAGCGCTGAAACTTAGTGTTGAAACTTGGGGGTCTGCGGGCTTATGGGGTTTAGGATTCTAGGGCTTGGGGCTTATATAGTTCAAGCTGTCGTTCATGCTAGGGGGGGTAAAGTTTGGGGCTTGGGTTTTGGAGGTTTAAGCTGAGGGCCTGTTAGCAAGGCAACGCCAAACCCTTGAGCCAATCCCTAAGCCCTAAACCCCTTCTTCCGGGCTATGCAAGGTTCGGATTCAGGGTTTACCTTAGCAGGAAATCAACTACCTCTATGAAGGACTTGTAGAAGGAAATCATAGCCAGGAGCCCGAAGAAGGAAGGCTTGAAAGGATCTAAACCCTACCTGATCCCGGAAGAACCTACATTTTTAAGGACTTATATAAGGAAATCATAATAAGGAACCCTAAGAAGGTAGGGTAGTCTAGTCTCGGGTCTGGGGCGTAGAGGTTAAAATCACTCTGGGTCTTGAAACCCGACAACACCCTACTTTAGGTACTGCCCCCCATACTGTAAGAGTCTATAATAGGGCTACTATTAAGGTCCTAAAATACCTATATTATGAATATTATTCAACTATTACTGAGTGGGGGCGGTACCGAAACCCTACTATAGGGGCCTAGACAATTGCCAAGGACATTTTGGAGATCCCTTGTTATAATTAGAGTGTGATCTCCCCGCAAAGCCCTATCCGAATTATCGAGGCGCCTGCCTTAAACTCTGAACCCTAAGCTAGGGTTGAGGTTTTAGCCTATAATCTAAAGCCCTAAAGTCCTAAATCGTGTTAAACCATAAGCCCTAAGCTGCTCTCAGGTACTCCTACAAGCTCGCCCCGCGTGGTGTTTACACCTCCGGCAAAGGACCATCGGGTTTTCAATAACGTTTGACGCCTGGGGTGCAGGGTTTGATGTGTATGTGTGTGTGGGTGCAGAATACTTGTCAGGATAGGGTGTCTCTTGGGCTTATATAAGTCTAAACCCTAAACCCTAAACCCTAAACCCTAAACCCTAATAAGGGTTACAGGGCTTCCAGGGTCTATGGGGTTTTTATTAGGGCGCCGACATACTGGAATGACACGGCAGGTTCAGTTTCTTCGAGGTGTATTGTACCATAGTTTTAGACGGATCACAGCACGTTCAACCTGACCCATCCCCTACACCCTGTAAACCCTAGACACTAAACGTTGATTATCGGGACTGTACGCACTAAAGCATGTCAGACCTGAATCTACACGCTATAACCTCCGAGCCCCAAGCCCGAAAGCAAAGGAGCCCTACTATAGTCTCCATTCCCTTTTTGGGGTGACCTTTTAGGGTCTTGAATATAAACTGGTTAAACCTGCAAAGTGGAACTGCATTTGGAGACTACAGACTACAAGTAGTCTTGCCTCCGTATAAGAATCTAAACCTGAAGCCCATCCAGGAAGCAGTGCTGTGGGATTGACAGCCTCGATCAACAAAGACCCGGTGACGCAGGAGCGACCTTGTATTCGGGTTTGGAGTTTTTTTGCTGTTTTGGTTTGAGCAGAGATCTTGACATTTCCACATGGCTTGAAAGCACCTGTAGGGTGGTTTCAACTGCGAGTTTGGAGAGTTTTACTGGACTGGGACAACGGTGCGTGACCCCATCCCGCAATTTGCGGAGTAGTTCTGTTTACGACTGAGGGCCAATTACCTACGGCCCACGGGTCCTTGGATTGTGGTCTTATGCTTCAGGGTTCGGGTTGGGTGTTTGAGGTTTTCGTGCACAGGCTTCGCTGCCATGATACATCCCAATATGGGAGAACACTGTTTCCTTTCGGTCGCTGTTATAGTCCTGCAGTTGTACATAGTACATTCTCCACCGAAAACCTGTGCTGATTTGTCGGACGTATATATTAGACCCTAAGTAAACCATACAGCTGAATGCCAAGCTCGAACCTCCACAGTTCGCGCCCCGGAAACCGGGACACGGACCAGAGGGTTCAGAGAGAAACCAACATCCCGTACGAGTTTGTTCTTGCAGGATGATGTAGAACTCCCTTACGACCACCCACAAAGAAACCCTCATAGAACCCCTAAACCCAACGAAAACCTACAACGACCCTTCAAGGACCTAGTGCTCGAGAGTGGCGCACTGGTGCTGTCCGACCGGGGCATCTGCTGCATCGACGAGCTTCTGGGATCACACCGAGGGTCTGGGGGGGCTTTACCTAGTTGTAGAGCAGGTAACCTTGAAACCTTTTTTGGGATACTGCAGTATAGGGGCCTTAATAATTAAAGTAAAGTTTTGGGGCCCATGATATTCTGATCATAATAATGCCCCCCTTAAAAAGAGAAATAGTATTATGATAATTATCAAGGCCCCTATAGTAGTCCACTCCCAAATGGTCAACTCTTCGTTCCCCAGGATGCAGGACAAATAGGTTCAATTAGGGTGTATTGAAGAAAGTTACTAAGGGCTACAGGGCTTAGTAGTCGTAGCCGCCGTAGTAGTAGTAGTAGTAGTAGTAGTAGTAGTAGTAGTAGTAGTAGTAGTAGTAGTAGTAGTGGTAGTAGTAGTAGCAGTAGCAGTAGCAGTAGCAGTAGCAGTAGCAGTAGCAGTAGCAGTAGCAGTAGCAGTAGTAGTAGTAGTAGTAGTAGTAGTAGTAGTAGTAGTAGTAGCAGTAGCAGTACCAGTAGCAGTAGCAGTAGCAGTAGCAGTAGCAGTAGCAGTAGCAGTAGCAGTAGTTGTAGTGGTAGCAGTAGTGGTAGTAGTAGTAGTAGTAGTAGTAGTAGTAGTAGTAGTAGTAGTAGTAGGAGTAGCAGTAGCAGTAGCAGTAGCAGTAGCAGTAGCAGTAGCAGTAGCAGTAGCAGTAGCAGTAGCAGTAGCAGTAGTGGTAGTAGTAGTGGTAGTAGTAGTGGTAGTAGTAGTAGTAGTAGTAGTAGTAGTAGTAGTAGTAGTAGTGGTAGCAGTAGTAGTAGTAGCAGGAGTAGTAGCAGGAGAAGTAGCAGGAGTAGTAGTAGTAGTAGTAGTAGCAGCAGCAGGAGTAGTAGTAGTAGCAGAAGTAGTAGTAGAAGTAATAATAATAAAAATAATAGTAATAGTAGCAGTCGAAGTCGAAGTTCGTTGGGGTTTAGGGTTGGATGACACCTACAGTTCCGTGGGTTTGGGGCCTGCGAAACAAGGGTCCCTCAGGGATGATACCGCGGGTCTTTACAGGAGGTTGGGGGCTTGGGGTATAGGGGTCGTCTGGGATTGGGATGATACCGAGGGCTTCTGTGAAGGGGGCGATTGCCGATATTTCTGCTACTTTAGCTAACCCATCATACCATGAGATCGTACTTTCAACCACATAATCGGTTCCCCCCCAAAAAAAAGAATAGTATTATAGGTCTGGTTGTAGAACACATTTTGAGGTTTGCAGGCGGTCTTTGAGGGGTTGTTCCAGGCATCCATGAGGGACCTAACGCGATTTTATCGGGCTCTATTTGCAAGGCCTTCGCTTTCAGGGTTTCAGGTTCAGGGTGGTTTAGATTGACAGATTTGGGGATTCTATTGGGGGTTTGCGGCTTTGGTGGTTAAAGGTATGGGTCTTCGAGTTTGAAGAGGTCCGCTTTCGGTTATGGTATCCCAAGTGTAAACCTGGTGAACCGCGGTGATTGGCTAGAGGTACAGATCTGGGTGGTTGTCAACATGATGGTCCCTTTTTGGGCACCCTAAATATTAGGTGCCGTAATATAATATAATGACCCAAAAAGGGACCCTAGTATTAACAACCACCCATTTGTTTTGGCTGAAACCTGGTGTTCATGAGCACACGGCCCTATTGGGCATCCTCGGTGTTGCATTGATTCTCCTGTGCTTGGGGATGCCCGAAGCTGTGCACGGCCCTAATTCCGAATCCAAGCCCTGCGACCTGCAAAACTCCGGATCTAAGCTCTCGACCCCAAACAGCCCCTTAGTAGCTGAGTAGGTAACCTTTAACCTTTTGGGGTTTATAGAATCCTACTATAACTCCAAAGGTTAACCTTTTTTGGGCTAGGGTACTCAGCCCCTAAGGCCCAAATTCCGAAGGCGAGTTAGAACTATGCGTGTAGAGGTAAACGGGTCCTGAACCCTCCAGGTCCGAGGTTTTGGAGGGCCCTAAACCCTGCAGGGGCTTCATTGGGATTTAGGGCCGTCAGAGGCGGCTCGAGGTAGCCAGGCCATGTCTTCCATCTGCCTATAGTTCTCATCTCTGCAACCTTAAACTCTAGGCGCTCCAATTTTAAGACCTACCGCCTGGACAGTAGGCCCTAAACCCTTAAGTAAATGCCACAAAACCTGTCTGATCCAACTGAACGAAACTGTCTGGTTTACGGTTGAAGGTTGACAGGGCTTCGGGTACATCGTGAGCCAATGTGCGGATACTAACAAGTAGGGCCACTCCCTACAATAGGGATCCTTCCATATTTGGGTCTCTCATTGCGCGAACCTTCTATAACCAAGTTGCTGCCTATGCAAATACTGCTGCTGGAGATGGTGACCGCCATGCAGTCGACGAAGCTGATTGCAACATCATGCCCCATACACGGACGTATACAACTCGAGCAAACGATCAGGTTCCCACCGCTCCCAGTAGACATCAAACCCTAACCATTCCAAAACCCTCTCTCGAAGGATCAAGCCTCGAGTGTGGGACTCCTAACATGGTTGTGTATGGCTACATAATACCCTATGCCTCCAGGGAAACCCTAAACCCTGGGGTCCTTAACGGGTCTAGGAGGTCCTCGGAGGGATAGGCTCTGGGTATCAGGTTCGACAAGATGGACGAGAATGCACGCGCCATCCTTCACGCGCCTTGCTCATGACTCTGAACTACGGTGGATGATATAAATCCTGCATTACCGTCAGGACCCTAAACCATGGGAATTATGGTATATTCCTTATTATGCGTTATGCAGGATTTATCTCATTAACAGTAATTAGGTCTTTGCAATGTTGTCAATTCTGTGGAGTTTTGAAAGGATGGCGGGACGGAGGTTCGATTAGATTAGGGATTTACCGAAGTTTCACAGTACCATATGGGTGGTTGTCAAAATTCGGGCCCCTTTTCAGGCACCCTAAATATTAGGTGCCGTACTATATTGGGGACCCAAAAAGGGACCATAATTTTGACAACCACCCATATGATGTGGGTAACTGAGCGCTGAGGCCCTGAATCCGAAATCCTGATCCGAAATCCTGAACCCTACCTATAGTCTCCATTGTAGTTCCTTTTATTGGTTAACCAAAATCTCTATTATAGGGTCCTAACCATAAAACTGGATAACCAAAAAAAGGAACTGTAGTCTCCATTGTAGTTCCTTTTTTCGGTTAACAAGTTTTATGGTTAGGACCCTATAATAGAGATTTTGGGTAACCAAAAAAGGAACTACAATGGAGACTCTAGGTAAACCCTGACCCGTTGGGTCACTGAGCGCTTAGGCCCTAAATCCTAAACCCTGAGCCCTACCTATGCCCCCAGGGACCTTATGATGGGGTCCTTAAGGGGTCTAGGGCCCTAACTATGAGGTCCCTGGAGGGATAGGCTGAACCCTAAAACCATCCTAAACCCTAAACCCTAAAAGCATCCTAAACCTTGAACCCTACCCTTTAAGGAAGTCATGGAGCAGCAGACGGTGAGCATCGCGCCACTTCCCTGGCAGTAACCCCAAGGGTCCAAAGGACCCAATAATTAAGTACTCGGTTTTCGGATAGTAGTTATGTAGGTTAGGGTTTTGGAGAGTATATGATTATTAAGTACTTGGACCCTTGGGGTAAGTGCAAAGACTTCGGTGGACGGAGCTTGGATGTTCGGGGTTTAGGGTTTTAGGGTTTAGGCTTGTAGGGTTTATAAGGTTTAGGGTTTAGGGCTTATAAAGTTTAGGCTTGTAGGGTTTATAAGGTTTAGGGTTTAGGGCTTATAAGGTTTAGGCTCGTAGGGTTTATAAGATTTAGGGTTTAGGGCTTATAAGGTTCAGGCTCGTAGGGTTTATAAGGTTTAGGGTTTAGGGCTTATAAGGTTTAGGCTCGTAGGGTTTATAAGGTTTAGGGTTTAGGGCTTATAAAGTTTAGGCTTGTAGGGCTTATAAGGTTTAGGGTTTGGGGCTTATAAGGTTTAGGCTTGTAGGGCTTATAAGGTTTAGGGTTTAGGGTTTAGGGAGGTTTTCATTGCCTGGAAAAAGCAGCTAAACTGCGAGGGCTCCGACATCAGAATAACAGTGAGTTCAAGCATCCCAATACTCCCTGAGAGATCTTGACAAACAACCCGGGGCCAAACCTCAAAACCCATAACCCACAAAACGCTAAACCCCAACACCCGAAAGCTCCAGCCTCCAATTTTTAACTTCAGAGTCCTGAATCTCAATCTCCCAGGTTAGACTTGCCCCTAAGACCCATAATCCCCAAACCCAAAATCGGTTTCAGGGTGTTCGACTCGCTGAAAGCTTAGCTCCCAGAAATCCGCCTGCGACGTCACCGACGTACGGGATTTAGATCTGAAAACGGTTTATAGGATATTGGGTTTAGCGTTTGGGATTTAGGGTTTTGGTGTTTGGGGTTTATAGGATTGTGAGCTTATAGGCTTTGGGGTTTAGGTTTTGGGTTTAGGGCCTTACAGGTTCGAGGGTTCTTTCTCCTTAACTTAATCCCTCGCAATAGCCATACTTTGCTGAAGGACCAAATGACTCTTAAAAGTAGGGGCCCTCTCCCCATATAGTATGATGAATCCCGATATGGCATATGAACCTTAAACCCTTTTAGGCTTCATTTCGTCCTCAAGCTTCTTGTGCCTCTCCAAAACCCCGTCCACCCTATTCTCGTTCAGAACACGTATGAGACTGGAATTTAAAAGGCAGTCTCTGACTTTCGAAGCATTGGCCCCGCCATCACCGCATCGTGGAACCCACGCCGACATCCCGACTAGAGTTCAAAAACCCTAAGCCCTTAGCCCTCAGCCCTAAACCCTCTTAAACCCTAAACCCAGAAGCAACTTCCAAGCGACAAGCGACACACACCAGGAAGGCGGGGATCGTCTGCTCCCTGAACGCGCGAACCGCCATCCTTGCATCTGCAAACCCTGCCGAAGCTTTCCTGCAAAGTGATGTTTTTTTCGCCGAAAGGCTCCTGGCTAATGAGGTTGAATCATTTTCCAGCCATTGATTTGGAGAGGTGTTAACTTCCCTTATAGTGTCATATATAGAACCGAACTATAAATGACAGGGTCCAGCTTGGGGGTCCGAACAAGAGGCAGGTAGAGCTTAGTAAGATTGCCTTGGTACCCCGAGACTTGCAAACTTCTAGGCTCTTTTCTCAGACGTTCTGGGGTTGAGGTTAAGGCTTGCAATAGGGCCGCTAATATAGAATAGGGCATGGGGGGTTATTCGGGTTCATGAACGTACGACAACTGTAGTGCAACCTCTACCCATTTCGACCAACATATTCGTGAGAGGTTTTTAGCCTTTCAATGCATCGCTCTTCGAAAATCTTGAAAAGACTGACTGGGTTGTGTGCTTTGGGATAATTTTTAATTTCCCTTGTTTCCTTATAAAGGGAACCTAGTCATAAATAATTTTCAAAGGGTTTAAAGCACAACCCAGCTGAAGTTTCTGACAGCCGACCCCTTTGCTCTAAAGTCTGGACCCGAACAGCAGCCCAAACGCTTGTGCAACCCCTGGGCGAACCATTAATGTATAGACCTGAAGCCTTAATGAGCCCCAAACCTTAAACTCCTAAATCCCATAAGTCCTTGAACCCCACACTCCAAAATCCACAAGTCCTCCTCGAAGGATTCCAGCTATAATCCGAAGCTGTCGGTCGCTGGCCTGCACAGCTGAGAGAGCCAGGTGTTTCCCAATTCCGCATTCAGCATTTTAGGGGCCTTAGTTTAGGGTTTAGGGTTGATCTATCATTAAGATCGGCAGAATAGGGTTTGGTGGACCAGCTTTGTCAACGGTTAGGCAGAAACTATTGTTTTGGGCCACTTGGATTAGCTATCTGGTTTAGGCCTCAAAACAACAGGATCCAGCAAGCCGATCCGACTTGCGCTATGTATGGTGTCCGTGTGGTTACGATTTGTCTTCTCGGTTCTGTCCTGGGTCCGATCTTCATTCCAAATCAGCTTACCCTATGCCTCCAGGGACCTTATTATGGGGTCCTTAAGGGGTCTAGGGCCCTAACTATGAGGTCTCTGGAGGGATAGGGTTACACGGGAGACAGAGAGTAGAAGAAACTGTGCGCACAGTCGGTACTCTCCAATCAACCTAGGATGCCCAGTAGTACCCTTATTCCCTTTTTGTAGTCCTAGGTTCCTTATAAAGTTACCCAATACCAAAAAGAGAGGCCTTTTTATTCTTAGGTTACTGGGTATCCTAGCAACACGACCCTGTGTTAGACTGAAAGAACAGATCCTCTTGCATGTTTCTTAAGGGTATACCTTGACTATCTTAGACGTAGAGGTTCAGAGGACGCAGGGGGCGATATCAGTACATGTAGCTGGGGTCATAGTTAGATCTAACTATGGCTAGATAGATTGTAAGCCTTCCTATTATAGAATCCCGCGACCATTTGAGCAGGTAATTAGTTGTTTGGCAAGCGGGGAAGGATCCTAAGACTGAGACTGACCTTCTCGACCTGCCTCAGGTGGTGGAGAACATCAAGCTTCCGCGCCTTTGCTGCGTTGAGTCCGGTTACTTCAAGGTTTACGGAGTGGTCTTAAAACCTGTAATATGGCTCTCTGTTAGGTTCTTCGCTGCATGTCAGGGCATGAGGGCTTTTCCTGTCTCACAGCCGAGCATGCACGCACGGATGTCTGTCTATCTTCACGTCTGTCTGTCTGTCCGTCCGTCCGTCTGTCTGTCTGTCTGAATGTATGCGCGTATCTGTGTATGTACATGTGTATTTGTGTTTACATATGCGTACCTATACGTACATGCATATATGCATACATGCATACTATACATTGTACATACATCCGTACATACACACCGCACATGTTTATATACATAGGTGTACACTATATATATATATATATATGTATGTATGTATGTATGTATGTATGTATGTATACACGCAAGCACAACTGCTTGGTCGTCTAGGATGTGGGTTGCAGTTGCTGGGGCGGCTCTGTTTGCGATTAGAGTCCAGGGAAAAGGAGATTTCGGCTGCCAATCCGACGAAATATGTTGGACTTGGCTTGGGGTTGCTGTTCGGAGCTGGGAGCCATATGACCCGTCCTGGAAGTGAGGCCGAGGATGTTCTTCGTACCTTGTGTCTGGTGGCTAGCTGGAGGGACTGCCTGGTTCCAAATAAGTCTTGATCAATCCGAGGAAGAATCTGATGACGCGCTTCGATTTGATTTGGCTCATGCTGGACAAGCGAGACCGCGATTCGGACCACAGGCGCGGAAATGCACTTCTAAGGATGCGAAGCGGGGTATGCGAAAGGTTCTTTTACGAAGTTGTATTGCGCAGGTTGTTTTGCTACATCGGACATTGTGCCCTCTGCCTACTGCGACGTGCGGCTGCTGCTACCGCGTCTGCGTTTTCGCGATCGCTACCAGTATCCACGACGGAAATCCACAGCGACAACTACTGCCTCTACAACCGCTACCACCACTGGCTCTAACACCAGCGCTATCACCACCACGGCAACTACAAGTACTTCTTCTGCTACTAACACTACTACGACTATACGACGACGACTACCACCACGGCTTCCAAAGTCAATGCCACTGCCTCTTACAACCGCGACCTTGGAAACTGTCAGAACCTGTATAGCATCCACTGTCGTTGCGATTACTACTGCCATATGTACTACCATTGCTGCCGCATCCACTGCTGGTGCTGGTGCTGTTGCTGTTACTGCTGCTGGTGTTCACTACGTCGACGACGACGGCGACGTCGACTAGTGCTGCTACTACGAACGACGACTGCCACTACTTCCACCACTACGACGACGACTACTAGTGCTACTACTTGCACTTCTGATGTTACATTTGGGGCTACTACTGCTAGTGCTGCTACCACTGCTGCTCCTGTTTCTGCTAGGACTAGCTGGTTGGCCCACCACCATGCCATCGATTGTTGCAGATTAGTCTACGGTGTCATGATGGATGATGTAGTTGCATCTCGACTAGAACGTGCTAGATGTGCTACGGCATGTCGCTGCAGGCCCGATGCGAAATACCAGGCACTTTCATTGTCTTCCACACTGCATCCCTGACCCGCCCCTCACATCCGTCTCTGAAGGCTGGCATTCCATCTTCTGTCCATGTACACGGAAGAGGGCGCAAAGAAGGTCGAAGCCGTGGCATCTTCGGCTTGTTTGAACCTTTGTCGGTGCTTTGAGGATTTTGATTTTGGTATCCGGCCTTCATGGATCTTATGCAGGGGTTTGAACAACTGTGCCAAGAAGGATCACTGTGATGCCGCTGTTGTCAGGGTTGGTGGAGCAGCACCCGGTTCAGTTGAGGATCTTCAGGTTCGTGTGGGGCTCTGAGGCCTTGGGAGCTTGGTACATCTACTGAGCTCAGCTGCGATGGGGCCCGGGGGTGTCCCCAGAATCACAGAGTCCTCCTTGAGGCTTCAGGTTCAGGGTTTCGGGCTTCGGGATTGTTACGGTTTTCATCTCTTGGCTGCTGTGATGGGTGTTTCCGTATAATCTTAGTAGCTGAGTAGGTAACCTTTAACCTTTTGGGGTTCATAGAATCCTACTATAACTCAAAAGGTTAACCTTTTTTGGGCTAGGGCACTCGGCCCCTAAGTAATGCTACACAGGAGCCAGTCCAATCCTGGTCATACCGGAACCCAGCACATCTAACCGTGCTCTTCCAAGCTGAAGTGTAGCACTGATGCTAGAAAGCCTCCATGAGTGAGAGTTGTAACCGTTAACCACTTGAGACTTGCTCCGAACAGACCTTACAGTTCCATCGCCTCAATTTAAATCTAGACTCTTAGACTCCAGAAGTCTCAAAGCTCTAGACTCGAAACCCTCCAAGCCCTAGCGGGAGTTTCCGAAATAGGGGACCCTAATACAGCACCCTAAATGGTAGGATCCTTGTTGTAAGGACCGCCAAAATAATGTACCCCAAGTTTTCGGAAACTCCCACGTAAGTCTTAAAGTTCCAAACCCCAAACCCCCAAAGGCCTGGCCCCCATCAGCCTTAAAGCAGGTTGTCTAAAGCTCTTAATATAGGTGCCTTAATTGTTAGAATAGAGTTTAGGGGCCCAGTATGCGATGATTATGAGAAGGAACACCCAAAGTAGTACAGGTTTTAAGGCCCCTCTATCAACCCTAAACCCAGAATGCCCGGACCCCATACGTCTAGAGTTGTTCCTCCCAGACTTCGCCCCGAAACCCCGGACTCCACGGGTCGAAGGCTCGAGCTCCCAAACCCCGAAATGTGGTTCCCTTTGGGGTTTACCTAAACCCTAAAGCCTAAACCCCTACACCCTAAACCGTTTAGGATTTAAGTGACGTCCAGGGCTGGGTTTGCCGGTTTTTGGGTCGTTTCCTCTTGGCCAGGTGGATCCGGAGCTCTTCCGAAGATATGCAACTTGCACAACAAAAAGGGGGCCAATACTACTCTGGGGGTTTCCTGAATATATGTACTTGCGTACAGTGTACAGTATATTATGCAACTTGCACGTGGCTACTGTTATTCGTCAAAGTATGAATAGTAATACCAATAACTAATCGTAGTACTCATAATGCAGGGGCTTCAATAACTACCAATGCTATTCTGGGGTTTCGTGATTATATTTGTAGTATAGCGTACCCGAAAACCTGATTCTAATCATTAAGGCAGACTAAGGCACCTAGATTATTTTCGGTTTAGGGCGTTGGGCTTGTTCAGAGGTTCTGGAATTGGAAGCTTTTGAATTCTTACGGAAGCTTTGGAGATTGAGGATTTGGAGGTTTCAGGGTGATTGACTTGTTCCGCATTTGGGACTTGGGTACTGCGAAGGTTTGTCTAGAAGCCCAGTTACCTACATGTAGTAGGTTTCTGTCATTTTATGAAGTGATCAACAAACCCATACTTGCAGCGCCCATTTTTGCCTGTGCGGGTATCCAAAGGCGCATCAGTACGCACCTATACGGCCGTAGCAGCGAGACCCCTAAACCCTAAGCACTAAACCCTCGACCCTGAACCCTAAACCCTGATTCTTATATTCAACCTTCATTAAACTCTACGTCTTAAACCTTAAACGGCAAACCTTAAACCCTAAATCTTAAACCCTAGCCCTAAGGGTGCTATAGCCACAACACGGAAAGGCGTAGTGTCGGCTCTTTGGCTTGGTACTCGGGGCTTCTCCTGTCTGCTCGGAGGCCATCAGCGGATCAGCAGATGCAGCCGGAAGTTTTAATACTGTTCATATACATGTACATACTTAATCGATATATATATATATATATATATATATATATATAGATATACATATGTGTGGATATATAACATACATGCGCATATGCATATACATAGACACAGACCTGTACATATACACGTACGTATACAAATACATATATGTATATACCTTTTTGTATTAATACATATATCCGGCACATCATGCGCGTGCGTGTACAGACTATGTGACAGCACACATTTGAGCCTGAGTGTATGAAAGCTCGGAGCTGCAAAACCACAGCTGTTGCTACCCATGCCACACTCGTTTCATGTTAGTGGGGGTAAACCAATTCTGGGTTTTTGTTAAGGGATGTAGTTTAATTTATATACCATAATAAAGAAACCAAAAAAATAATATAGATCTTATGGTAACTCAAGCTAAATCTCTTAGCAAGACAAGAACCCAGAATAAGCTCTAGCCTTGCCCCTTCTAAGCCTTGAGCCCGTTCCTGAGCTCCGGTCCTGTAGACCTCTGTAAACTGATATCCTGCTAGAACAGACTGATGAGAAATAATTTGTTTCACATGTTCATGCTTTTGATTGTTAAGGGAGAGTGAGTTGGAGCTTCAAAATTTACAAAACGCGACAGCTAAGCAAGAGACGACAGCAGAAACCCTAACGGTACTAACAACTGATAACCCTTCGCTGCCACTTTGTTATAGCACTCCAGTGCCAAGTTTAAGGCGCAGCAGAGAGGGAGAGATCGGATGCTGCCCCCATGCAGTAACAGACTCTAGTACTGCCATACATATTGAGAAAACATCCAACTGTTGCTGAGTTCCTATCTTCACGTGAGGTGGCTTTCGCGCGCCAGTGGGTGTTCCCTGCTATCAACGAAGAGTCTGCGAACGCCCTTCATAAAAGCTGCTTGCCCAAAGTGGCAGTGCCGGACGTGTCGCCCCGAACGACTAAGGCCCTCGCCCCCCTCCTCGCGATACCGCCCCCCACACTCTGTATTTTCGGGTATAGGGTGCGGTTGAGCCGTTAATCGCAAAGTTCATCAGTAGGGTGGTATCATCGCCAGCGGCAAACGGAGTTCTTACCATTTGGTTCAGAGTTTAGGCTTCAGGGTTTAGGTTCAGTTTACTAGGGGTTAGGGGTTCAGGGTTTAGGGGTTTAGGGCTTAGGGGTTTATGGTTTAGGGTTTAACGATTTCTCTGGTCGTTTCTGACACATGGACTCACAATGGTTAGTGCATGCATATTTTGCTCCAGGGCCATGAGGATGATCTGATTTTGTGGCGCTACTACAAATAGTCTCCACTTTGGATTACTTGGAGCACCAGGGCAGACACCTGAAGTATTCGGTGCAGTATTTCCTGGTGATATATATATATATATATGTATACGAAAAATGTGGGGTACCAAGTTTTTGGCTCCTTATAATAAGGATCCTAGTATTTAGGCTAGTCTTTTGGGGTTCCTTATTGTCGGAAACTCTTATATATATATATATATATACGTATATATATATATATATATACACATACAGTATAACATACCTGCAAAAGTCAAAAGCCTATGCATTTCTTTACGGCCGCTATGCTCCACCGGAACCTGGAACTCCAGGCCGCAGCCTCCGAGGGGCCCAAATAGTCACTCACACTACGGCTGATGATAGAAATCCTGCATGACCCATTATAAGGAATATACCATAATTCCCATAGTTTTGATAAGGAATATACCATAATTCCCATAGTCTTAATAAGGAATATACCATACTGCCCATAGTTTAGGATCCTTAAGGTAATGCAGGATTTATATCATCAACCGTAGTTTCCGTATACAATATGAGTTTAGTATAATAGACCCCAGAACCCTGTAGCGATTAAGGCCCCTAGTATGGCACGGTGCGGGGTGGCAGGAGTGGTCCACACCGGAAGCTCTGCACCTCGTCCCCTCAACCCTACAAAGTTTGGTTGAGGGTTTAGGCCGTAGGGACTACAAAAGTTCCTGCAGATGGAAACAGCCTAAAGCCGATCCTGAAACCGTAATCCTGACCCTGTAAACGGCAGATCCTAAATCTTGAAGCCTTCACTCCTGAAACCCCTGCGGGCTGCATAAACCCTTCAGCCCGAACCCTTGCAAACCCCCGACCCGAGACCTCAAGCCCTAACCGCCTAACCGCCCAAAACCCCAAAACCCCAAACGCGAAACTCCTCAACCCTCAAGCCCTAGAGCTTAGTCCTATGCCTCCAGGGACCTTATGATGGGGTCCTTAAGTGGTTTAGGGTCCTAACTATGAGGTCCTTGGAGGGATGGGGTAGAGTTTGCGCTGTAAGGTTTAGGATCCCGGGACGTATCTGAGGCTACCTGGACCTGCGCAACCAAGGCTCCAGGGAAGCGATCCTTGGTCTGAGTTGTTTGTTATGTGGTGTTGCTTTCCTTTGCCCTAAAACCCTTAATGGGGGACCGGGTAATATAGGAACCCGATTAAGAAACCTTGGGTCTTTATTAGTGCTCCTTGTATGAATCCTATTATTTTGCGTTGCAGGGCAAGGGTTTCTTAATCAGGTTCCTACATTATCGAAGTTAGTGTTCTAGGGAATTCAATCATTAAGGTTTCGGCAGAAGGGTTGCTGGGTTTATGGGGGTTGGCCGCTGTTTGATAGATGTCTGTGGGCATGGTAATGTTACGTTGCAGCAGAGTTGAATGGCTTTGCTGATTTGTTTTACATTCGGAGTTACGACTCACTTGGGACCGCATCTGCCACTACAAGTACCGATCGGGATGGGTCGAGAGACCTGCTCAGGACCACACTTGGGTCCAGTCCGGCTCTATCTGAGGTTTGACTTTCCGGTTTGAGGTTAAGTTTCCCAAGTAAGCAACACACAGTCTCTATGCACTACGGTATGTTTATAATTACTAACAGAACGTAAATATATACAGCATTTCTCACCCAGACAAAAGAAAAAATAAACAACATCGCATTCCTGTGCGTATGTGTGTATATATTTATATAATATGTCTGTGTATCTGCGCGTGCAGGTGGGTACGCGCATGTCCCAGCTATGACAACTTGTTCGTTTCTTAGCTCACAAGATCCCCAGTCTAGGGAGTTGGGTGTGGGGTACCCTGCGTCCAAAGCGTGTCCTAAGAACCCATCCCAAAACATCCCTGGGCTTTGGAGTACCATACTTTAATACTTTTTTCTTAATGGAACCATTATGAAATAAAAGTTTATACTTTTTTCTCCCTGGTTACTTAAAAGCCCAGATCCAGCCCTGCAAGACCGATTATTGTAGGCTTGACACAAGAAATCACCTCTATCCGTTACGCGTTGAACCCCCATCCCAACAAGCCAGGTACCATTTCGCAGAACCCTTATGTTGCTTCATATTGGTTAATTATTGAGGCTTAGAGCTCTTTTTCATTATGATACAACATTTCCATCCATGCCGAATAACACGGCATTCTTCTTGATGAAGCTAGCCCCGATCCCCCTCCGAAGAAGAACAAACCCTATCCCTCCAGGGACCTCATAGTTAGGGCCCTAGACCCCTTAAGGACCCCATACAGTAGAAGCCGAAAAGTTGGAAACCCAATAGCCTCAATCCTTAAGAGTAATATATAGGGAATCCCAGCACCATTTGGCCTTAATCCGGTTTCCAACTTTATGGGGTTTACGGTAATAAGGTCCCTGGAGGCATAGGGAACAAAACAACATGCAGCCAGTCAAAGGGTCACGGCCACGCCGCGGATCCTTGAGTCCTTGATCCGACTCTCACAGTCCTTAGCCGCTCTGGCTGAAGAGAGTTCAGTCCATGGAGGATTCAGGGTATCGGGGCTTCGGGCGTGGAATTGAAATCCCAGACCCAATAAGCCCTATAATGAAGCCCTCAATCCGAATTCGGATTTTGGGTCATGGCTGACGGTTTAGGATTTGAGGTTTAGGTTTAGCCGTTCCAGGTCGAGGCTTACCCTATGCCTCCAGGAACCTCATTATGGGGTCCTTAAGGGGTCTAGGGCCCTAACTATGAGGTCCTTGGAGGGATAGGGTTACGGGTGAGGATCCCAGGTTCGGGTTTGGGTTGTAGGGTTCAGGGTGTAGGTGTTTAGGGTGTTGGGTTTAGTTTTTTAGTGTTTTTTGGTTTAGGGTCTAGGAGTTTAGGGTGTAGGGTTTAGGGGTTTAGGGGTTTTCGGTTTAGGATTTGGTTCGGGTTTGGCTTTGGAGCTCAGGCTGTGGGTCTTGGATTGAGGTTTGTGGTAGTGTTGAGGGAGCACAAACCCGCAATATACTTACACTACTTGGAGGATCATGGGACTTAGTGGGTAAGGTTAAGAGTAAGTCATAATCAGGATAACCCCACTTAGGGGACTTATAACCCCAATTATAACCTACTTACTAAGTCCCATGATCCTCTAAGTAATACCTTATGCGGCCTTAGGGGTTTCAGGAGTGAAGGCTTCAAAGTTTAGGATCTGCCGTTTAGAGGGTCAGGATTACCTATAGTCTCCATTGTAGTTTCCTTTTGCTGGTTTAACCAGTTATATATTCAGGATGCTATAAGGTAACCCAAAAGGGAACTACAATGGAGACTATAGGTAGGCTTTGAAACAACCCTATTGACCATTACAAAACCCTAAAGACAGCGCCCTAGAATGCCAACGTCTGTATGCTTTAGTTTAAGTACCTGGCATGCTAGGATAAGCTTCCTGTTGGTCAGCATATCATTTGCATATGACGGCTAGCATACTTGTGGTAGAGGATGATAGAGAGCCTCCATCGTAGACTTAGCCGCCACAGTTCTAAATCGGCAGAATCAGACTCATAGCCATGAGCACAATGTTGGTAGCAAGGCTGAGCGTGATAGTGATCGGATAGTCGTAGAAGGAGGAGGGTCATAGTAGTGGCCCTACTATGAATATGAGCATCAGCAAGATAACAGGGTTGCGAATAGTGGATGCCCCGGACAGTCTCTGTACAAGGTGTTTACTGGGCTGCCTCATCCCGACTCTCGGTGTCGGAAGAACAAGTATTCCTTGTCCTCGAAAGTCCTAAATATATCTACATATTATACAGCAAGAGTTTAGTGTACCCTCAAACCCTTTCTATCATGACAAATCCCAAAAATTTCTTACCCAAGTTTCCTGGGCCAGGGGTCCTGGCACCTCACCTGCCTGTATAGCAGAAACTGTGTTCAGAGCCTTTGCCTTCAAAGGGTTTCCTGAGCGACAGCCGAAGTAACTGTGTTGCTTATTTGTTTGTGGGATCTGTCTTTCTGTTTTCTTGGCTCTATGCAACCTCCTTCTCAGCCGACCCTCCTCTCCTGTACCTCCTCTCCTGCGAAATCCTGCTTTCCCAAAACCCCTAAACCCTAAACCCCTACTAGTATGAGAATTTGTGCAAGCCTCGTACCTGGGCGGACCCTAGGACGCAAGGAAAAAAGGGCACTGCATCTAAAAAAAACGTTTGCTGAGGCAAAGATGGAGTTGCGTGAGACGGTCCTCGAGCGAGATGTGAACGAGGCCCGGAGGGACTTCTGCAGCTTCAATGGGGGGTTCCGAAAACATGGGACCCTAATAAAATACCCTAAACAGTAGGATCCATATTATAAGGAAACTTCCAAATGGTTTAGGGGTTCAGGGTGTAGGGAGGGTTTAGGGTTTCGGGGCCTTACGGGTCTATGGGTTTAGAGCATTGGTTTCGGGGTTGAGGGTTTAACGGCTCAGTTTATGGGGTTACGTGTTTACGGGTTGCTAGAGGATAGAATGGAACAGTAGAGCGGGTTCGAATAGACTACCACTCAATAGAACAGGAAAAGAGTAGAGCAGAAAAGAAGATACATGAGCCTAGACGAAAGTAAGAACACAGCGCCATAGCTCTAGGAGCCATAGTTTGACATTCTCTGAACCGATTATAGACTGTTGACGGCGCTATGTTTCTAGTGACCCAGGGTTACGACGACGATCTCTTTAATTGCTAGCATGTCCCCTCTTAGTTTCTTATCATGTAAGTTTATAGCATGCTACACCCCTCCCCAAAAACTAGTCTTGTGGATCTTAGTTGTTCATGATCTGGGTTCGCCGCTGTTTTATTATGGGTGTTCAGGAGGGTTGCGTTCCGAAACTTCAACTTCTGGGCACAGCTCTGGCTCCGACCTGTGAAGACTAACCCTATCCCTCCAGGGACCTCATAGTTAGGGCCCGAGACCCCTTAAGGACCCCATAATGAGGTCCCTGGAGGCATAGGGCAATGTATGGCTTAAAAGTTTAGGGGGAGTACATGTGGGTGGTTTTCAAAAATCTGGTCCCTTTTTATGGGTACCCTAAATAATAGCTGCCGCATTATAATAGGGACCCAAAATAGGACCATAATTGTGACAACTACACATGTGTAGTACTCCATGCTCAAAACCCCTAGCTTTGAGATCCCAAATTCCCCGCATCCCTCACCCTAAACCCTAAACCCTAAACCCTCATCCCTAAACCCGAAGCGCTAAACCCAAAAGCCCTGGCACCCCCAGACTCTTGGGCAGAGAGGCGGTGCGCCTTCTCAAAGCTGCGACCTACGCTGCCGCCGTAGACCCCGAGACAGGCCTCATTTTTTAGTTTCGAATTAGTCTTTGATTACAGTGTCTTTCGTTTTTTTTTGTATTGCCTGTTGATGTGAAGTCTAGTCTAGTTGTGTTTCAACTTATTGGTTTCTGAATTTTTAGTTGTGCCATTACAGTTCTATCTGTGCAGTTTCTGACTAGCTTTCTTACCTGACTTTTCGACTTCGGATTCGGGCCTGAGGCATGAAACAAGTTAGTGTGTATGTTTTAGAAGCTGCCCCCACCCTGTAATAGTGGTATAATAGGAATATAATAGGGCCCTAATATAATATTAATATAATCCTTATGGTTACTATTACAGGGTGGGGGCAGCTTCTAATTCAATCGATGACAAATCCCTGAGTCTATAGTCGAACAGCCGGGCTTCCGAATTTGTGTCCCTGGTTCAAGACCTAGGAGAATCCATGGGTGCTTGTGTGTTCCGAGGATGCTTCAGGATGATTTGCCTGTGGGGAAGGGATCCCCCCCCAAGCAGTGCCTGGACGTATCATGCGTGACTGTGTGCTCTGGCAGCTGGCACGGTGAGGCAGAGTCTGAGCACCCTAGGCTGTCAGCGCAAGAGTTACTGCTTTCGGGTTTGGGGCCCAGAAGTTGGGTTTCGGTCAGGGGTTTAAGGGCTGGCGGCTCCTTACACCCCAGCTACATCCTAGACCACCGAAACAAGGCCTAAAAGCTCCCGCCCCGAACAAGACGCAAGGCTTGATCGACTGGGAGCAGCACTTGGGCTGCACAGACAGCTGTCGGACGGCTTTTCTGTACATGAGCGGTAGTACACTGTTCCGTTATGACACCTACCCAGGTCTGGAGCCCCGAAATACCCTGAATCTCAAGCTCCCTACAAACCTCACTCCCCAAGCGATCTGTTGTCTCTAGACGTTGACCCTCCAGCTCAAATCCCCAAGCTGGTTTTGGACATGGATCCAGAGTATGTGCTCTACAGTGCTTTGTCAATAGAACAGAACTTCTTGCGAGAAGCGGAGTCCGAAAGTGCCACGCAGGGCGCCGTAAAATTGAAGCACCGTAGAAAAGGATAAAAATCTTCAGGCATGAAAATTAGGGTCTTTGTGAGGCTTGCCATTGTAGTTGTAGTATGGGCCAGCGTAGGGGCGGGCCCTTTAAGGTATCATGTACAAAGCCACCAGAGCTTTCGATCACTGTGTTTCATTCAGAGTGCCCCTTTGTCGCCCAGGCTTATTTCCGGCAAGAGCGCTGGCCAGCGAAAGCGCATGCAGGCTGCAAATGCATTTACACGTCGTTTATCAACATTTTTATATACACACACATCATGTATTGGTGTATATGTATATGTATATGTATATGTATGTATATATGCATATGAGCAGTGATATTTAATGTGATTGATGTGCAACCGTACATGTATGTATACATAGATACATAGCCAGTTGTTGTTATGTGTTTGTTTTCTGCTGATTCAGTTATATCTGCCATGATTTAGAAAAGGCAGCCCTGAGCAATAGCGTCTCTCCCTTCGCTACAGAGAGGGGTTGCTAATCAGTGTACTGTATTTGCTGAAGCCCAACAGCCTAAGCTCTGGCAGTCATCAGGAGTCTACGTATTGCTGGGAAGTGTGAGATTAATATAGGGGCTCTAATGGTTACCTATACCATTTTGCGGGCTCCTTAATAATAAACATGTAATCATAGCATAATGGCCCCCCCCCAAAAAAAAACATATTCTAATCATTAAGGCCCCTATATTATAGTACCCTTACAGATCCCTTATAGTAGCCCCTTTAAAGGAACCCTAAGATCCCTTATAGTGACCCCTTTAATAGAGCCCTATTCTGATCCTTAAGGCCCCTATATCAGGCCTCCGGGCTTGGGGACTTCAGGGTCTTTTTGTTTTGTTTAGGGGCTTAGGGTATAGGGTTAAGGGTTTAGGGGAGAGGGTTTAGGGGCTTAGGGTTTAGGGTATAGGGTTTAGGGTACCTGATGAAGTCTGAGGAGGAACAAGGGTTTAGGGCAGTTTAGGGCTTAGAGTTTGGGGGTTTGGGTCTAGGGCTAGGGTTTGCCTTAGTCCTTAATTACCTGCCAGACGGGATTACACACGAATTTAAAAGATCTGTTCAATTCAGGAACTTCTCGTCGGGTCATGCCCTGTGAGCCTAAAACGAGAAGCTTGCGAACCACAAAAGGAAAGTCTTGTTCTAGCCAGGCCTCCTTGAAGAGTATATACTTTCGTTCACTGTACGGAGGGTTCTAATTGTAGGGTCTGCTAGCTCAAGAAACGGGTCTGTTAGAGGACAGATGGAAAGGGTCTGGCAGGCTGTATGTCCTTTCGGATCTCACCAGCCCAAAATTCACTTGATAGCTTCAGGATATAAAGGATCCTCGGCCGAGACCCCGAGTAGTATAAGGGCCTTAATAATTAGAACAGGGTTTTGGGGCCTATTAGGTTTTTATGATGTAATGGACACCAATACAGGGTACGCCTAGTTTTCAGAGACCTCCACGCAACGAACGAGAGGGGGGGGCTATTGAATTCGCTGTAGTCCTGCCTAGACTCTTAACCCTAAACCCCTAAACCATAAACCCGAAAGCCTACACCCTAAACCCTTAGCCCCAAACCCCTAAACCCGAAAGCCTAAACCCTAAACCCTTAGCCCTTAACCCTAAACCCGAAAGCCTAAACCCTAAACCCTAAACCCTAAGTCCGTGGCCTACCCCGCCTAGCAGGAGCTGGAGATGTTGGTGCAGGAGGTCGGCATGGAGTTTTGGGTTTAGGTTTTTAGGGCTCAGGGTTTTGGGGTTTAGGGTTTTGGGTTTAGGGTTTAGGGTAGGTGTTTAGTCTTTCATGATAATAAAACCGGAGCCTGTAATAAGCAAATAATCTGTCCGGAGCTGTGCCGAAAAGGAAAAGAAGGACAACTCCAATCGGCGGAGCAATCGTATCAACTTGGCAGCCGTATCAATTTGGCGCCACGTGAGCGAAACGACACTGAGCAAGACAATGACCGTCATACACAAATCTTCAGGCCATAAACTACATACAGATCCTGAAAAAGATGTGCGAAGTGGAAATCCTTTAATCCATAAACTAAAGACGCTGGAAATATGAATGAAATGAATAACCTCAGGCCTCAGGCCATAGGAGATCGAAGGACACTGGAAGGATTATTTATGTTGTTTTGTCATCCGCTGCTGGAGAGCAGCTGTTAGGCCATGGTGGATCTTGGGCAGGACCTGTGGAATAGGGCTTTGCACTTTTCAGAGCCTTATGGGTCCCGTGTGTCAGGCAAAAACTGAACATGGTTTTCATGGCATCTTCATATGGTTATACCTATAGTCTCCATTGTAGTTCCTTTTTTGGCTCACCAAAATCTCTATTATAGGGTCCCAACGAGAAAACTGGTTCGCCAAAAATGCAACTACAATGGAGACTATAGGTAGGTTATTCGAGCCCAGCAAACTTCGCTTCACCGGTACCATCGGGGACTGAACCGAACGTCCGGGGATTCGGAGATTGACTGTTCAGGGGTTCATATACGATCATGCAATGATATACTGCCATATACGGTCCTCTACAATATACTAGTGTAGGGGCCCAAGTAATTACCAATACTATTGTCGGGGTTCCTCGTTAAGATTATACTATTCTATACCCCCAGAACCCTATCCTAATCATTAAAGTCTACGGTCATCTACGATAGACTATGGTGGTTCACCCTAAACCCTAAACTATAGTGCTTCCAGCTGCAGAACCCTGGCCTCCTTGCAAAGCTCACCTTGGCTACGGACTTCAAAACGCCCAGGTTACCGAATTATAGGATCCTTAAGGGAGGGTGGCTCAAGGGGGGAGGGTATAAGGAATCCTTAGGGGACTGTAAGGGAACCTTAGGGAGTACTAGGGAGAATTAGGGATCACTAGGCTATATACCCCCTTTGGACCCCCCTCCCTTAAGGATGGTGAGGGTTCCCTTCTCGCGGTTTGTTTAGGGTTTCCTACAGTCTCCATGGTAGTTCCTTTGTTGGTTAACCGATGTTATGGCTAGGATCCTGTATTATAAATTTGGTTAACCAACAAGAGGCTACTATGGAGACTATAGGTAGTTTGGAGGCCAGAATGATTACGAATGCCATCTCAGACCCCCAGAGCCTATTTCAATTTCTTTTGCCTTCCTTGCATTGGGCAAAGCCCCTGAGTAAACCACAGGGTACCTATAGTCACCATTGTAGATCCTTTTGGGGGTTGCCTTATAGGACCCTTAATACGTAGTTGGTTAAACCAAAAACAGGAACTACAATGGAGACGATAGGTAAGATTGCAGAAGCAGAGTAGAGACCCAAGCATGAGAGCTTAAACTGGGACATCGGTGGCATAAAACGAAAAGATCAGAATCTACTTATTCTTGTTACCGTCGTGGACACGGGTGTGAAATGCCTTACTGGGCTGTGGGGTAGAATACTGCAGTGCTTGTCGCTTTAGGCCTGTTCCTTAATCCTTAAAAAAGCAGACCAATATGATATCAACGTGTAAATTTCTCCGTGGTTACTTCAAAGCCCAGTTGATGCTTTAAAAGTTGTTTGATGCATGGATCTCTGAAGCACCCCTTACAAATCTGAAGTTGTGGTTACTTAAACGAGTATCTGTATCTTCACACGGAACCAGTAATGTGGTCTTGGTGGAGTGCACCCTTGCAGCAGGTGGTTCACGAGAGGACGACCGCGGGCGACCAGGTTTGGGTGTTGTTTTGTTTTTCTAAGGTCGCGTTTTAGCTTGGGGCTGCTGTGGAAACCGAGTTTGCTGCAGTGCCCAAAGAGCTTTGTTTGAACGGAAGTTGCCTTCCAGGTACAGGGCTCCTAGCTGAGATAAACCGAGGTTGCGAATGCTGACAAAGATCAAGTCGCCACAGGAACACTACCCCTACACATTAGGCTTGCATCATATTCTAGGGGCCTAAATAATTACCACTACTGTTTTGGGGTTCCCTGTTATAATTTTAACAGTATAATGGGCCCCAAAACCCTCTTGTAATCATTCAGGCCCCTACATTAGGGTTGAAGGTTTCGGTATAGGGCTTTGGCTTTATGCTCTAGAGTCAGTTTGGGTTCTTGGGTTGTAAACTGCGCTTTTGGAGGGATTTCAGGGCTCCAGGCTTGCATATCCCGCTCAGAAGCAAGTTGAACACATCAATGCAGCAACACCTCGGGCTTAGATTAATTACTGTCTGGCATGTTGTGGAGTCTTGAGACTTAGACCCTTTATCCTGAGTCCGGGTAGTTTGTGATATTTCGCCTAAACCCCTGAATCGAAACCTAAACCCTGAATCTTATAAATCCCAACGAAAAACCTGGAGACAAAGCCTAAAGTAGCGCAAGAATCGAGATGCTAAACCCTAAACCCTGAAGAGCTGCGCCGCGCTGCTGCATCAAATTTATGAATTGATTGCTGCGACTATTGATCTGGCTTTCATGTTCTTATTGGGACATTGAGACTGCCCCTGACATGACTGCTTATGTAGGTTTGGTATGTGGTTCCTATGTGCTGGTCTGTTCTCGCAGCGAGATAGAACTCATAGGAGGCCAAAAGGGGTTTTAGCCTATGGGGGTTTAGTAGTGATTAGGGTTCCCATAATAGGGTTCATATTAAGGAACCCCTACCCCAAGAATCTTAACCCCCCCTTGTGGCCTCCCACCAAGAACTAATGGAAGTTCGACCCTGAACGTTAGGATCCTGTGTAGCAGGCACCGTCATGCTCTTGATAGGACTATTATAGTGACTAGAGTTTGTGGTTTGTTGGGGCCCGGGAGCATTATCTGAACCGTAAACCCTACCTGCACCCTCAAGGACATGCCTTTTTAGGATTCCTTATTATGATTTCTTTGTAGAAGTCCTTGAAAAGGTAGGCTCTTCAGGGTGCAGGTAGACCCTAAGCCTGCCTGCTGCCAGACCATGACCTATGACAACGTGAAGGCCTGGCTGGATGCGTTGGTTTTGGGGCTGAGGGTTGATAGGGTTTAGGGGTTAGGGTCTGAGGTTTATAGGGTTCAGGGTCATGGGTGCAGTGTTTACGGTTTAAGGCCAGGGTTCAGGGCTCACGACCAGTAGCAGACAAAGATTGCACGGCTCCTTCACACAGCAGAGGGATGATAAACATGCAAGTTGTCTTTTGAAGAGCAAGCCTGTCCGTAAGTTGGGAAGGTCATTTCTCTTGCAAGACGCTCAGAGCAAGGACTAACAATAGCGTCAATTTTCGCTGTCAAACGAAAGAGTAGAACTACTAGAAGAGGCAAAATGAGCGGTCAGGCAAATAGGTGGGTTTTTGAGGCTCCCTTAGGTGTGCAGTGTGCGAAAAGTTCGGTCGGATGCCAGCTGTGACGGCCGAAGTGCGTTTAGCCAAGTTGGCATAATTTTTGGGAGCAGATGCCCCCAAACCCTAATCCCTTAACAATACTTATAGGCCTTATAAACTAACCCTATATTTCCTAAACTCCATAAGCTCTGACCTTTAACCCCTGAACCATAGGACGGGCTTCTTTATCTTTAAGTGTCATCAACTCCAAGTCAAACTCGTCCGGGCACACGGTGATAGTGTCACGATTCGATGTGCTGTGGCTTACCTTTAGTCTCCATTGTAGTTCCTTCTTTTGATATATTAGGGATCCTAAAAGGTCGCCCCAAAAAGGAACCACAATGGAGACTGTACTTGAAGGCTCATGGGACTTAGTAAGTAAGGTTATAAGTAAGGTATAATTAGGATAACCCCACTTAGGGGACTTATAACTCCAATTATAACCTACTTACTATGTCCCATGATCCTCTAAGTAGGTAGGGTTGAGAGGGTTTAGGGTTTCGTCGCTGCTTCGAGGCCGAACCACAAACTCTTCTCAAGCCGCTCAAGGCTTCCTTAACCCGGAAGAACCTACCTTTTTGACTTAGTAGCTGAGTAGGTAACCTTTAACCTTTTGGGGTTTATAGAATCCTACTATAACTCAAAAGGTTAACCTTTTTTGGGCTAGGGTACTCGGCCCCTAAGTTAAGGATTTATATAAGGAACCCTAAAAAGGTAGGTTGTTCAGGGTTAAGGTCTAGGGTTTCGGATAGATCTTGCCTTTGCCTGCCACATTTCCTGCACAAGACTGGCTTCAAGGTCTCCCGCGGCTAACCGACCCTCGCCCCCCATCAGCTACTGTTACTTGAACCCTGTGGGGGAGTTGCCGAAAATGCGGGACCCTAATATAGTACCCTAAAACATATAGTAGTAGGATCCTTATCAAGAGAACCCCAAAATCCGGTAGCCATAAATATGGGGATCCCTAGTATAGTGCCCTAAAACAATATAGTAGGATCCTTATTCGGACAGCACAATCCGGTAGCCTTAAGTTTCGGAAACTCCTATATGAGCCCCCTGAAACCCTAAACAAATCGCGCCGGAACCCAGCAACTCGCTGTACATCGGAAACCCCATACTACCTATATAGTCTCCATTTTGTATAATAAGGTATATAGCCCCCAGAAGGAACTAGAATGGAGACTATATGCATGCCTACAGGTAATATGTAACCTCAGGTAAGGATTTGAATAGGACTCCCTAGGGTCAACCATGTTGGTAAACTTGTTAAGCCACAAAACTCGTCAAGGAATCCTTAAAGAAACCCCATACGCTAGGTAGGTCCGAGACCCTGACATCTCGGTTCCATTTCTCATCACCGATCCTCGTACAGACGGCAATCCCCAAGCCTTGATCCCAGCAGGCTTATGGCTTAGGACACTGAGCTCGGAACTTGATACCGCAACCCCCACGAGCCTGGGTGGCCTTTTGCCTTCAAAGCCTCCCAACACTGCTACACAAGAATAACAATGATGTGTATCTATACTTGTGTACGTGTGTGTGCGCATGTTGTGACCTATGCACACATCATATAGATATACATACATATGCTTACATATATACACACATACAGGTATGTGTATATACACCTATGCATACATCTACATATGCACGCACACATGGATCCCTTGTTTCTAAAGCAGCAGCGGCCGAGAGTGAAGGTTCTAACTGTACCATGCCATGCCAGGCGAGCGTGAACGAGAAGCTTGGAGAACGCAAGGCCTGCCTGACCAAAGTAGCCTGCTTTGGTGGGACTGGAATGGGAGCAGGGGCGCAGGAAGATCCATGTCGCGAGCAACCTATACCCCTGATTTGGTCAAGAATCTTCTAACTTTATTGAATTCGGGCTTGGGTTGTGTTTGTTCTTCTCTCCACCGAAATCCTTGCAATATAGAAGAGTTATCTCAAGCGTGGTGCCCTCGATTTCTTGGACAGTTCTTTGAACTTTAGATAGCAAGCATGCGTGGAGCCTTGCCCTGTTATGGCAGAACTTTGGATCTTAGGGCAACTTAGCTTGCTATTCAACCGATCCCTCTAAACCCTGCTGAGTACATGGCGAACCTCATAATCCCCAACCAGGTTGTCAGGTAAAATTTGCCCGTAGACACAACATCGAACAATCCTCAACGCCTCGACTGCTTCGATTCTCACCGCATTGCGACGTAGGCTGCCAGCCCAGTAGATCGCGAAAGTCTTGCATGATGGACCGTCAGATGGCTTATGCGTTCCCGCTAGATGACGACAACGACTTTCCACAGCAAGATGCCTCGTTCCGGGCCAGTTACCGCCGAAGGCTATCGTCCCAGGGTCGCCAGCCGGAGTATGCCGATGCTGATGTGGGGCACATATTCGCATGGCAAAATGCGCAGACCAATGCTCGCGACAACGTCTACATGCAGGATAAGAGCTGGAATCGGGTCGCCAAGGACAACTATGACGAGCTGAACTGTGCATACTGTGGACGAAGGAGATGCCGGCGTGCTTATGATGTCTGTCAGCAGCAGGGGCGCCTGTCGGAAGGGCGCTGGGGCGGCTGGCAACCCGATGCAATCGCAGCGCAAGGCAGTGCCGAGTTCAGGGACATGGGCCTTTACACGCATTTCGAGGGCGGCTTCGATCCTGCATCGCCTGCCATTCAGGACGGACGTGTGAGGTTCGATGAGTACGGTCGCCCAGTCGGAGTCGGCAACCTTATCCGGGACTACGAAAGATCACACGGCCGCCGCAGACATGGGCTCCCTGTAGATCCAAATTACGACGACCAGCGTGAGGCACAGAGGTACGCCGCCATTGCAGCCGGACAACAACGCACGCAGACGCAGCCCGCGAATGACAACGGGTGTTCCCTGATGTGACCAGCCTTAGAATTGGGCTGGGAGAAGTTTCTACGGGCCTGGATCGAATCTCGAAACCATGGAATGTGATGCTTGGATGATTCACGGACCCTGGTGGAAGTATTTTGGACAATTCCGCGCACAAGGGTGCATCAAGAGATTGCAGAAGGCGGAGCGAAAGTCTGGTTGCTGGGTTCAGGATTGCGAATCAAGCGCAAGTTTGTTGCTTGGGGTCGTGCCTGTTGTGGCTGCCGCTGCCACTGCCTTTGTTGCTGAATCAGTCGACGCGGGCAGGTTTGAGTCCAGTGCTGCCTTACTCGCCGATGAAAGCACACAAGCCTATATTGAAGCCTGAGACCTGGCAGGACCATAAGCACAACAGGGCAATCCTGAAAGTTCTACAGATAAAGCCACCTTCAATAGTTGAGACATGGAAAGCTTGAAGCACATACTCCAACAAAGCTGAATTCCTTTATCTACCGTGTATGTCCCATCATATAATGTAGGTTTAATTACTTCATTGGCATCTGTTCCTAGTGAGTGTCGATTTCGAGGCTTACGACGAGTGAGGGACGAAATGTGTTTTCTGAGGGCTGTCAATGCTCCTTTTGTGCAAGCTAAGGCCCACTGCATTCAAAACAGTCTGTAAACCGTTTCAGATCTTTCCTTGTTCTTCCACTTGAGCACCGTGGAGATCCAAACCCGCAACCTTCAGCCCTCCGCAAGCACTCCATCCTATTTCTTACAAACATGCTAGCTCTAATCCTAACCGCCCCCGAACACAAAAATTCCGAAACCCTGAACCCTAAAACCCTAAACCCCTAAACCCGAAACTCCAAGTATCATCCCTAGGACCCAGAGTCGGCCCTTCTTCCCTTTTTAGGGTTTAGGTTCCACCCTTATAACCCCCTTTAGATCAAAAAGGGCACCCCTTTTTATTCCTAGGTTACTCTCAGGTCTAGATCCTAAATCCTAGGTTACTCTCAGGTCTAGAAATTTACATCCTTCACACCGCGGCAACCGGTTTTACCAATTGCCCCAGGAGCAGCTGATGAACGAGTCCGAATACTCCGAGGCGCTGCGGGTGTGGGCCCCAGCGTTTCAGGGAGCCTTCAGAGCAAGGTCAATTAATATAGGTGCCCTTATACTTGCTTCATCATCGGCCACAGAATCCTTTTCTAACTGTTAAGACCACCACATTACCCACGTGGGTTTATGTGGGGCGAATAAGGCTTTAGAGGGATTGTATAAGAGTTCTTAGGAGCCTACTTACTGAAAGGAGTTTCGAGAGAAGGTTTTTTTGGATGGCCGTAGGTCTTCTATGAGGGTTCTGGAATGGCTTTACACAGCGAAGTATCTGTAAAGTTGGTTGCTGGGATGCCGGGTTGTGGGTACTATGTTTTAGGGTTGTAACTAGCTCATGAGACCGATTTCCGGCCCGAGCCGACCCTGTCTAATCTTAAGAGATGCATTCTCGCTACTCGTCGATGCAGTTATCAAGTTCCTTGCGATCGGGTATAGGTTTGCCTACTAGTTACTAGGTTCCCATCGGGAGGGTATGTGGTCTGCGTGGAAAGGTGTTGCATCGGGAAATGTATGATAATGTTCGGGGGCGAGTACGGGTCCCGAACGGCCGGCGAGGCTGTTGGGGCTTGGATGATGTAATGCACATGTACGGCGAAGTTGGGTCATGAACATTCTCACCCGGACTCCTGTTGGCCAAAGATTTCAGGTTCGGCTGAGGATTCCGAGACTAGTTCTGTTTGCATGCGGCTCCGCGCACCCAAGGGTCCTAGGTACTGTACTGTAATGGGGAATACTTCCCCAAGTCATAATAGTAATTCCCAATACAGAAACCCTACATTCTACTATATAGGTACTTTCGACGCTCTGGGGCAGAGGTGCCTTCGGAATACGGCGGGAGGTCGGCAAAGCTTTCAAGTCTTTTCTGTCGGCGGTGGGCGGCTCTCGAACCCTAAACCCTAAACGCCCTAAACCCTGAACCCGAAGCCCTAAGCCCGAAACCCTAAACCCTAAGCCCTAAGCCCTGAACCCTAAACCCTAAACCCTAAGCCCTAAGCCCTGAACCCTAAACCCTGAACCCGAAGCCCTGAACCCTGAACCCTAAACCCTAAACCCGAAACCCTAAACCCTAAACCGTTTCGAGGGTCAAAACTTTCGGCTGGACGAGGTTCGGGCCGCTTCCAGCTAAACGCGAAGCCCGATCCGAAGGCTCTCGCACAGATTTGAAGCCCCTTACAAACCCGAAACCGTCTATATCCGTAAACCCTGAACCCTAAAACCCCACAAAAAAAACTTTAAACCCTAAGCCCTAAGCCCTCAACCCCAAACCCCCCCCCCCCCCCCAAGCCCTAAACCCATTCTCGAAGCTCCTTGGGCAGTCAAGGCAGCAGAGCACGGCGGTCTTCTCCGCCGCCAAGGAAAGGTGATCCACCTCACAGTTACAGGCCGCCTCCTTTAGGCATTTCTCTTAGGGTTTAGGGTTTGTTTAGGGTTCAGGGTATAGGGTTAAAGTTTAGGGTTTGGGGTTTGTTTAGGGTTCAGGGTATAGGGTTAGGGTTTAGGGTTTGGGGTTTGTTTAGGGTTCAGGGTTTAGGGTTAGGGTTTAGGGTTTGGGGTTTGTTTAGGGTTCAGGGTTTGGGTTTTGGGGTAAAGGGTTAGGGTTCAGGTTTTAGGGTTTAGGGTTGGGGTTGGTTAAGGGTTAAGGGTTTTGGGTTTGTTTAGGGTTTAATTTTATGGGGGTGAAGATTCACTTCACGGGCACAGGCCGGCTCCTTTAGTTGGTGTTCTTAGCATGAAGCATAACATAAAATAACTCCGAGGTACCTTTAGTTAGTGTTCTTAGCCCTTTTTTCAATTCTCACATCAGATGACTCCGAGATACCTTCTGTTAGTGTTCTAAGCATTTGCATATCAAACTTAGCATCATTAATTAAATCCGAGGTATGATTACACATGCAATGTTCGTTTTGGTTGAAAGGGCGCGCAAAGCCCTGTCTCCGCGTTTACCAGAGCAGTATCGTGGGCTTTGAACTCTAAACCTTAAATTAGGGTTGCTGCTTTTGGTAGCTACCTGCACGCCGCAGGCCCCGACCTTTCAAGTATATTGGAGTCTCAGGTTCAGGAAACCATTACTACAACCTTGATCTTGGCAGACGCCAGTGGCGCCAATGCTATCAATTGCTCAAAGCTTCCCACAAATTCGCACTCCCCTCCAGAGCCCTCCATATTCCATAGGCCGCCTAGACTCTAAACCCGCAGCCACTCAATGCTGAGTTTCGGCTCCGGGCTTCGTACCCGAAGCCCTGAGCCCAAAAATGCCTACAGCCAACTCCCTGCCCTAAGGGTCCAACAACCCAATTGTCGTCATATATTCTGCCAAACACAAACCTACAAAACGCTATCCGGAACCCAAGGACCTACTTATCTTCGGACGTCTTACCATACAATGAACTACGAAAATGTACTTTTTGGGAGGCTCTCAGAAGTTCTATATGGGTTCACAACAAGAAACATCAAGAAACTACAAAACCCGTAAGATATGGTAGTCTCGGGTGTGCGGACATTCAGGGGTTTGGGGAAACATGACGGGTTGAAGATTCTGCTGATAAGGGGTCTCGGACCGAGGCATCAACACTTCGGTTTTCAAGAGGATCCCTGAATTCCTGGCTATTTTCTTTCATACTTATAAGGGAGTTTCCGAAAATAGGGGACCCTAATATAGTACCCTAAGTAATAGGATCCTGATTATCAGGACCCCATAATGAGGTACCCCCCTAATTTTCGGAAACTCCGATAAGGGTCCCTGCACGGGTCACTGCTGGTTTCTTGTCGGGTTCAGGTTGGGGCGGTTTGTGTCAGATCCCCACTCTGCAAAAGGGAGACTCTAATATAGTACGCTAGATAGTGAGTGAATTAGGATGCTGGTGATAAGGACCCCGAAGTAAGGTATCCCAATTCAAAAAAAATTCACAAATCGTCTCGCAGGTGCCAGTCAGTAGGCGAGATGGAAGACGGCCTGCGTACGGCGCAGTTGTTTTTTTGGTTGGCCGCTTGCTTGAAAGATGGGCCCCCAAGGCCCGTGGCCATTTTGTGCTTTGCCATGCTGGAATGTTCTGTCACTTCAAGTTGTATTCTTTTGAACACGGTGATGCTTTTTCTAGAGTCTAGAGTTGTTGTTGATGTGGTTTTGTTTCCTCCTATGGAGCCAAGCTAGCAGCTACAGTTCCCAGTCCTGTTTTTCGAGAAAAGTTACGTCGTTTCATGCTCCTGAGCATGTAATCTCCACACACCAAAGGCTCCTTCCCAGGATGGCCCGGTAGACCCTACTGCGCCAGTCTTAGACAGTCCTCAGCACCCTCCTCCTTCAAACGGCCCGAGAGTTTCACTGAGTTGTGATTCCTGTGAGTCAGGAGGCAGCGCAGCTAAGTACACAAGGATCCTTCTTTGGGATACAATCGGATAGAATGGAAAAGAAGGTTCTCCAGCTGAAGTCTTCGTACATGGTCTGGGTTCTGCAGGGACGGTGCCTGGATTACTCTAAGTTTGGAGTCAGGGTCTCCAAGGTTTCGTGCTTTCTTCAGGCCCTTGCCTGCAGCCGGAAAGGACCTGCTCAAGTCCAGATATCCCAGTTCCGCAGACGCTGTATGCCAACATGGACGGATGCTTGATACCATAGTCTTTTCAGGTACCTCCATACGAACCGGCTTTTAATAGAAGTCTACCTGCATCAGGCCTCGTCTGGAACAACCCCGCATGTCTAGCTCCTGTACTTCGTCGTTCCAGGCGTCTCTTCGCATAAGTCTACTAAAGCGGCATAAATGATTACCAACACTATTTCGGGGCTTCCTTACCCATACTACGTTTATAGTAGATGTACATCCAAACCTTAATCAAAAGTATGCAGGCCCCCCACATCACTAGCTTTTACTTTTTCGTTTGTTACAACCCACGTCTCCTCAGCTTGAAAAAGATAATCTCTGAACGCCGAAATTTCACCCTACCCCTCCAAGGACCTCATACTTAGGGCCCTAGACTCCTTAAGGACCCCATAATAAGGTCCCTGGAGGCATAGGGTCAGAGCTCTGAAATCGCTTAGATCCGGATCCCCCAAGCTAGCAACAACTCCATGGACCAGAGAACCTTCAGGTTGGATGAGAAGTCCGCAAAACCTTGCGGGGATTGCGGAGGATGGCAACATCTGACGGGACCTATGAGTCGGGTTAAAGACTCGGAAGGGCCGCTTTTCCGGCTGAAAGAACGTGATGAGGTTAGACTTGATGTAGGGGGTTGGTGAACTCTATGCATTGCTGCCGATTTACCGAATTATGTGGTTCTGCCATAGTTGTATGGTTGAGTTTTTGGGCCAGGGTGCTCAGCAAGTAGGCGAGCCTGTTGCCTTGTTTTCTTGACAGATGGCTTGCATGCTTCAATTTAGGATGCGAGAATTCACAAGCCTTCTTGTACATTGTACCCTTAAATCAATTTCAGAGTACTTCCTGCAGTCTAAATCAGCTTCAGAACAACTCCTGCAGTGGTGTTTGACCCTTTGGCCTCTGACTGTGCTATGAACACCTTACCCAGAGGCCCCCAAAGTAGTTCCTTCTTGGGGTTCATATATAGAATCCTATAAGGTAATCCCAAAAAGGAACTACTTTGGGGGTATATACCCTTAATATAGCCATTATATACCCATTATATAGCCCATTATAGGGTAGGGGTCCCTCCTTTTCCCCTTTGATAAAGCCTAAGCCGGAAGAGTGGTCCTTGGGGTGGTGCAGGATTCCAGGCGAATCCTGCTGGGGGTTTTCCGAGAGTTCCGGCCTGATCTGCTGTTCACGCTGTTAACTCTAGACCCTAAGCCGGCAACCCTATAGTAGTTCCTTTTTGGGGCTTACTTTATAGGATTCTATATTCTATGAACCCCAAAGAGAAAACGCCGGAAACCCTAAACTTTTTAGGATTCTAAACCCAAGCCATGAAAATCTTCAGCCCCATGCCTTCAATCTCGACCCTGAACCCTACCCAGAGGCCCTATAGTAGTTCCTCTTTGGGGGCTTACCTTATAGGATTCTATACATGAACCCCAAAAAAGGAACGACTTTGGGGCCTCTGGGTAAGCAGGAAACCCTAATTTTTTGGGGGGGCTCTAATCCCAAGAACCCTAAATCCGAAACCGGTTTCTGTTCAGAATCGCAGCGCTCGGCCCTGGAACTCCGGAAAGACCTATGACGGCTTCAGATTCACATCCCCGTATTGCTCCCTCAAGTTGACTGAAGATATGCTTCGCTACGTTGCTCGTCTATGGGGTCCGGTTTCGGGCTGAGGGTTTAGGGTGGTTCATGCCAGGGTTTTGGTGCGTGTATATGAGACTCCTGGGTAGGATGTGTTGAGTCCATGTGCCGTTGTTGGAGATGCAAGTAGCTTCGACCAAGACGGGAGAGCGCTGTTATGGCACGTGATCTTAGGCTCCAGCCTAAGGGGCCAAGCCGAGCGCATCTAATCCCTTCAGTGTGATCGTGTAGACGACGGCCGAAGAATCCATGCACTGACATCATAAGGCTTGCTTGCAGTTCCCCACCCCTAGACCCAAAACACCACACTCTGCCAGTGATTGATCTCCGGTCAGTTTCTGCGTTTGTCCTTCTTCGAATTCTGAGAGCTTAGGAACGCTGCACTCGAGCGATTTATCCTGTTCCTCCCACGTCGAAATTTTCGGTATGGCCGATCGGCTATCGCCAAAATGGCCACGGAAAACACATGATTCCTCAACCCTAAACCCTAAACTCTCATGCCTGATCTCCGAAGGCATATAAGCCCGAGACTTCTAGACACTGAGCCCCCAACTCCAAAGCCTAAAGGATGCCGGTTGGAGGGAGCCTACGAGGCTTGGACATAACCCTTCGCCATGTGCGTGCGCGAAGGAACAATGAGATGCGAGGGGGTGGGGCTGTTGGGATTTGGTTTTCAAGCCTCGAAGTTGATGGAAGATTTGGAGTGGCTGTTTAGGGTTTACCCGGAGGCCCCAAAGTAGTTCCTTTTGGGGGTTCATATATAGAATCCTATAAGGTCATCCCAAAAAGGAACTACTATAGGGCCTCTGGGTAGGGTTCAATGTCGAGATTCAGGTTTTGGTTTTCAAGGCATGGGGCTAGAGATTCTCATGGCTTGGGTTTAGACCTAAACGAGGGCAATCCGGCCCTGGGATTTGGTGAATCCGTGGGTCTTACAGGATATGCCAGGGCATCAAGGCGTAGCGTTCACGCTTTGGGAAGTATGCTCCCAAGGAACCCCACTCTCCGACACATCAGGAGACCTGATCTGATTCGGGCATACTACCTATAGTCTCCATTGTAGATCCTTTTTGGGCCTACCTTATAGGATCCTTAATACATAAAATTGGTTAAACTTAAAAAGGAACTACAGTGGAGACTATAGATATGGTCTGAGTCTTGGGATGTCAGAGAAGTGCAGCTACTGGCCTTTACAGCGGGCTACTGTTCCTTAGGCCCGTTTTCGCTTGGTATGTAAACGCATAGCCTAGTAGCTCATTGATAAGGTAGTTCGGGAAAATTCAGGTGTGTAGGTACCTTCTATTTACTTCACAAAAGCCAGCCGAACCTCCAAAACCCTTGCTAAACTCAAAATCCTACTCTGATCTTAAGGCCTTGTTTCTTGTGTAGCTTTGTTGGGTTCACTGGGAGCTCCGTGCAGGGCCACCAGTGGGAGGGAGCCGCCCAAGTGCTGATAAAGCCGGGGTCCTGGGCCTTCGGGATTTCTGCGGGTTTGATCATGGTTATGGGGGATACTGTCGGGTGTTTACGAGGGTTTGATTCAGGGTCATTGCAAGTCTTGTTCTTTTCGGTGGATGAACGGTGTTAGTAATCATGTAGTAAGAGCATACATTTGGGTTCCCCAATGTTTTTCTGCTCGACGGTACCCCGAAACCACATTTTCTTGCTTATGGTCCCTGTCGTATTCGCTGGGTCCAACTTCTAGAGTTAGGGTCGATGGTGCAGGGCAAATAGGACGTTCGGTTGCTTCTCCGCTTGCTTGGTTGGTTGCCTGCTTATCTGCTTACCTGCTTGCGTGCTTGGTCATTTGGTCGGTTGGTTGGTTCGTTGGTTTGGTGGGTTGGGTGGGCGGGTTGGTTGATTGGTTGGGTCGACCGTTTAGGGCTTTAGGGTTTAGGGTCCCTAGTGAAGCCTTAGTGCTCCTAGGGATCGTGGGTTTAAGTCTTTGTGAAACTGGGCTGCCGCAATTAAAAGCATCTTGTAAATCCCTTCAAAGAAGGGTCCTGTAAACCCCATGCAAGCTCTATGTGTGACGCTCGACTGGCCCTTATAATCCCTGTAGCCCTCGGGCAGAAATCATAATCATAATTCCTACTATAGAAACCGAACTTCGTACCATGTAGGTTGAAGGCATGAGTACATGTGAGGTTGCCTGGTCTAACTATTCGCGCCTCCCACCTAGGGCCTACCCTTCGTGCAGGGGTTGGGTCAAAATGATGTCGAAGCCCCCGCGGTCTCGTCACAGAACGGCCGTCTTCCTGTACGTTGACCCTCCCTCTCCGCCTCTCCCACATGCCCTACCGATGCAGGGTGACAACGATGATGATGCTGATTATCTGTATGTACGAAGAACGAAACTAGAAGTGGGAGTTCGGATGCACAGGCAGTCGTCGTGCTTGAGAGCGAAACCCACACGATCAGCGAGGTATTCTAGTTTCATTATGTCGCGCTGGTCGTCACGAGGGGGTGGGGGGGGGGGTGCAAACTAGTTAGAGGTCCTCATTATTACTATTGTTATTCTTTATTGCTACCTTATAGTTACAGTACTTGCCATTTTGTTTATTTTTCTTATTTTGATTATTGCTATCATTGAGGGGACCTTTCACAAAGGACCTTACTATTCAGGCTTGAACTTGAGGTCCCTTGCTTGTCGGAGACTTGTGTATGGGATGTCTGAGCAGAGGTATGTACGGTATGTGATATGCTTA